TCAATGTAAATGAGACTAAATCATACCCTCAAAGTCATTCAAAGTATCTATGAATGTTAACTCAATCCCTAAAAGATTTTAAGAGAAGAATGTTTGATCATAAATTTTTAATTTAGAATTGATGCGAGTTGTATTATGCAATAATTAAGATAGTGTAAGATTTGCAAGATCATCCATTTTTTTAAAAATACCACTAGCATGACAAGAACAATAGTTGGATAAAAAATTTTAAAACTTTGAAAGCACAACCTTTGGATTTCCATAGTGTTTAACAACATTTGGTACATTCCTCAGAAAACACCATGTGAAGTGTGCTTACAAATAAAAAATAAAATTAAAGAACTTCAAAGAAATTTCTTACTCATAGCCTAATTAAAACTCTATCACTGTCATTTATAGATTGTTTGAGAAGAGAAACAAACAATTGGAAAGAAGAACAAAATGGATTAGAAATTTTTTGAATTGCATCAATGTCTTTAATTGAGTTTGAAAATGGTTCGTAATACATAAAAATTCCCTTCTATTTCTTTTGCAACAATATAATGTGTAGTTAGTAATTTTTCTTTGTATACTTGAGTGGTAGAGATACGAGAAAACAAAAGGTTGTGAGGCACAGTGTTGGGCTGTTTCTTGACTTCACTTAATATGGTATTTTCCTATTTGTGATAATCATACACAAGATTTCTTTTTGTTTTGCTGAAAAAAAGAAAGATAACAATGAAGAAAAGGAAAAAAAATGAAGAATCAATATATCTCATATTTGAAAACGAGCTCTTAGCAAAACAAATGATTTAGAGTTAGGAAAAGAAGTAGAAGCAAAACAAACAGCCTACGTGGCACCAAGGCTAGTATAAGAGATAAATATATAACATGAGATCAGGAGAAATAACATGATCTACACCCATTAATCTTCTGCTTTCTATTAGGCACTTGTAAATCACCCAAATAGAAAAAAAAAATTAAGAGCCTGGAGTAGGCAAGAGCTTGAAAGAGCTTAAAAGGAGGGAGCAAGAGCAACCCAAACCTTCCTAATGAACAGTTAAATTACTAAAACAAAATAAACAAAATATGAAGAATGTTTGATGCTTTGGCTAGCCCAATTATGTAAATAGTTAATAACAAATGAATCCATACTAGCAAAATGTTCATTTAACTATGTGTTGTTCCAAATAAACTTCAAAAGAATTGTATTCAATTAAATCAAAGAAATATGTAAAAAAAAAAAAAAGGAAATAACAATCTAATAACTATATGTGTTGAGATTGTGGATAACATAGTTAAATTCAAAGATGTTGAGTAAGTTGTTGTATGCTTATCGTTGATTTTTGATTTGCTAATTAAATCCATATACAACATATATTGTAAAAGGATATTATGGATTAAACATATTCACTAATTTGTGATTGACAAAATCTTATAGATCTATATCATATAACACAAGAACGTGGTCATAGTGATGCTCAAATGCTCATGATTGATGATTATCAAAGTTTGCCATCAAGATGAGAGTAATAGCCACTTCTCCTTACCAAAATGCAAATTAGTTGTTATTTGGATGATATTATTGAAAAGATTTTAAAATATAGCTCCGTGGCATACACATAAATTCAAATGAACCAAGTGCAACATTTTATCCTCAATAGTTCACATAATTTGCAATTCTCCTTGCTCTACACACAACCATGAATATATAAATAAATATAAAGAAGATGTATAATTACTTTAGCCTTCCATTTGCTCAAAGACAATTACTTACTCATTAGATTGTTAGATCATTATTGTTATCTTCTAAAAGTGTCTTGAAAATTAAATGAGCTATTTCTATACTTTATTATTGTTTGTGTTAATCTTTATATAAAAAGTGAAAATGGGATTAGTTTATTTTTGGCATAAAATGTTACATGGAATTGTTGTACCTCCCTAGTTGCATTTCCCTGGTGGAGTGAATGGGGAAATAAATAAAGCAATCACTCTTAATGTATATTATGCTTTGTAACTTTGTCTTAAATGTTTTTTTTATTTAATTATTATTAAGTAAGATGTACATATATATATGTAAGACATATATGGACTATACTCATTGCTTTATTTGTATTATAAATGAAACAACTGACATGCATGTGAAATATACTTTGCAAAGTGGTCAGTTTTACATATTATTAATCCAATGACAAATAGTTTTTTCTGGGGAGCTCAAGTGAGCCACATCATAGCTTGTTGCTAAGAAAACTTAGATTTCAGCACACTCAAAGTGTAATAATGGGGTTTTATGGTCCTTACCACTTCTTAATTGTTGCAAATGCATATCATTTACTTTTCTCCAGAATTTCTGACCCATGGACAAGAGGAGGTGCTGCCACTTCGGCTTAAGCAACAAAAACTGTAGTGTACAAATGTAATAACAATCCGCTAGTATTTAGTGACATCTCGTATAGTGGGGATAAAATTGGTCTACTTTAATAGCTAGTTATCAGTAGAGAAATAGTTGGTTGGTTTGACTTTTTCAAGGGAGAGGTCTTTTTCAATCTAGGGTCCCAGAACACATTAATGCCTTTTGGTGTTGTAAGTCTTTAGATTCAATGTTACTGTGGCTACTGATATTTGTTCTTGCCTCAATAATTTCTTTTGACTTACTTTTAATAGCTTATCTTAATCCCACTTTTAATAATTTAAAGTCAATGTAGACAAGACTAAATCGTGCTTTGAAAACCATTCATAGTATTCATGAATGTTAGCTCCATCCTTGAAAGATTTTGAGAGAAGAATATTTGATAATAAATTTTCAATTTAGAATTGATGCGAATTGCATTATGCAACAATTAAGATAATATAAAATTTGCAAGATTGTCAATTTCTTAAAAAATACCATTAGCATGATGAAAACAATGGTTGGAAAAAAATTTATTTAAAAGCACAACCTTTAGATTTCTATAATGTTTGACAATACTTTGTACATTCCCCAAGGAACACCATGTGGAGTGTGCTTATAAATCAAAAATAAAATTAAAGAACTTTAGAGAAATCTTGTATTCATAACCTGATTAGAACTTCATCTCTATTATTTACAAATTATTCGGGGAGAGAAATAAACAATTGGAAAGAAAAATAAAATGGATTAGAGATTCTCTAAATTGCATCAATGTCTTTAATCAAATTTGAAAATGACTCATAATAGACGAAGAGTCCCTTTCATTTTTCTTGCAACAACACAATGTGTAATTGGTAATTTTCCTGTATACTTGAGCAGTAGACCCATGAGAAAGCAAGAGGCTCTGAGGCATGATGTTAAACTATTTCCTGACTTTACTCTATAGCATTCCCTTGTTTGTGTGAACAATATATAAGATTGTTTTCTATTTTGCTCAAGAAAAAAAGATAATGAGGAAGAAAGGGCAAAAAATAAAGAATCAATATAACTTCTATTTAAAGATGAGCTCTTGGCAAAGAAAATGGCTTTATGCTCAATAGAACTGAGAAAATAGCTATAGGCAAAATAAATGGTCTAAGCGGCACCAAGACTAGTGTGGGAGACAAACACAAGGAGATCAAAAGAAACAACATAATCTACATTACTAGTCTTGTGCTTTCTGTTGGGCATATGTAAACCACCCAAAGAAAGTTGAGAGCATGGTGTAAGTAGGAGCTTGGAGGAGCCTAAAAGGAAAGAGTAATCTTGTAAAAGTTTTGCTTATACTTCCTAATAAATAGCTAAACTGCCAAAACAAAATAAACAAGATATGAAAAATGTTTGGTGCTTTGGCTAGCCCAACTATATACAATAAATGAATTCATGCTAGCAAAAAGTTCATTTAGCCAAATGTTATTCCAAATAAACTTTCAAGAGAAATGTATTCAATTAAATCAAATAAATATGTAAAAGGAAAAGAGAATCTAAAGGAAATCCAACAATCTAATAATTATATGTGTTGGGATTGTGGATAACATAGTTAGATTCAATGATATTAAATAAGCTATTGAATGCTTGTTGTTGATTTTCAATTTGCTAGTTAAACTCACACGCAACATTTATTGTGAATCTAATATATTCACCAGCTTGTGGTTGACAAAGTTTTGTGCATCTACATCACATAACATAAGAATATGGTCATAATAATGCTCAAATGCTCGTGTTATCAAAGTTTATCATCGAGATAGGAGTATTAGCTACTTCTCCTTGCCAAAATACAAATCAATTGTTATTTGGATAATATTATTCGAAAGATTTTAGAATATAGCTCCGTGGCATACACATAAATTCAAATAAACCAAGTGCAATATTTTATCCTCAATAGTTCACATAATTTGCAATTTTCTTTGCTCTACATACAACCATGAATATATAATTAAATATAAAGAAGATGTATAATTATTTTAGCCTTCCATTTGCATAAAGACAACTGCTTGCTGCTAATAGGGTTGGATCGTTATTGTTGTCTTTTTAGCCTTTTTAATTGATAATATATCCCGATGCTATAATCAAGCTCACTTTGAGAGCCTACGTTGCCTTTTTCCCAATGGCTATCACCTCAGCTTTGCCTCATCTTGCTAAAGTTAGCATTGGCTCTGGGAACATGGAACTCCCAGGATGGAATCAAGGAGCTCATCACTAACATTCTTCTATTTCGCAGCCTCCACTGTGTGAAGCACTGGACAACCTTTAACTCAGCTCAGGTATGACAATGGCACACCATGGAAACTCATCTTGAATTGAAACTCAAAAGTTCCTTAAGACTAAATGCAAACGACTGCTGGATCTCAGGCTGGTAAACTTAGTTTTGAGAAAAAATTAACGCTTTCTAAGATCAAGTCATAGTTTAAGCATTAACATCAATGCTTTATTAAAGTTAACTTGAGGTAAATGTCAAAAACTGCATTGGACTTCCATTGTCTGACGTTGACTTTGAGCTCTCAGGTCAGCTGGTGCATGTTCCCCGAGTTTTCTTTTTTTCATTTTGCTGCAGTGGAAAGCATAGAAAATCATCAGGTAGTGTGGTAGGCCATAGGAGGAACGATCTAGTTGTTTATGTTTTGAGGGATTTGCAAAAGCTTCCCACGATATTTGTTGCTCAAGGATATTATCTATCCATCGTTTATAATCTTGTGGTGCCCAACCTCGAAGCATGTGACAAATGAATGCAAGTGTTTGTGAAATTTGCTAATATGAAAGACCGAGGATTTACTTTGGCAGTGATCAAATTCGCGAGAATAGTCGTCACCCGCGCATATCTGCGAGAAAGAGCTTCCACTGTTCTAAGAGAATCCTCGTCTGATCAGCAAGACATTTACCTCCACGATTTTCTCTGAGGCTTCAGGATCGCTTCCACGCAAACTTCCGCGACCTGATCCACGAGCCACAAGACCTTTTAGATGCATGCTTTCCTGCTAGAGTTTCTTACCTTCAATCGACTGATACCACCTATGAAGAGCGAGTCGGCTGGCCTCATGACGAGAGCCTCATCCTGAAACAAAAAGAAACGTTATCTCTAAGAAACTTAGGAGAGAATAGCAACGCTTACAGCGGGTGCGTTCTCTCGTAGACCAGCAGGCCTTACGATAGTGTACTCAAGCCCTGAGCGTTGCAATGCAAGCTCTGCCTGCCTTTTCCTGAGGATGGGAAAAACGAGTGAGACCACATTCTTGCGAAGTTAAACTTGTTTCGCTTACCACCACAGAATGGAGATTATCTGGAGGAATGACGAGACTCCTATCGACGTAACCAGTATAAACTGCGAGTTAAATGTCAGTCTGGATAGACAATACTTTGCTTGCTACCTTTTTCACTTGTTCTTGGTTCTTGGCTGCCGAGATAAGGTTCACAACTCCTTCATACTCGATCTGGAAAAAATCACTCAGTGTCAAAGAGAATGTGATTAACAACTTAAGAACCTGGTATGTCACCCTGTATTACATGACTATATCAGCTAAAGCAGTGACAATGCGACGACGTACCTATTCCCAGTCCAATTGTGGAAGTACTGCAAAGCAAACGTAGAGGTTAGTGGTTGTAGAACCTCTAATTCAGACCAACCTCATGACCGATCACACCCAAAATTGCCGCGTAGTCAACATCTGTAGCAGTTTCAGCAGATGCCAGAACAAGTTTCGAGTTGAATATCTGATACGAATAGAAAAATTAAGTGAATCCAACAGCAAAAAAGAGACTCACATTCAAGCTCTTGTTCTCCATAGCACCCCTACACCATGCATCAGTTACCAAAAACGAACAAAAACAACGGCATCGTACATGTTGAAATCGGGAACAGCGACAATGTTAAACAGGTCAAGATCATACTCCAACACATACACCTGTGCGAAGTTGAGATAAAAGAGACAGAGAGAGAAAAAAGACTTCTACTTACATCCTCATCCCACTTCATTGAAAGCTTGAGAGCATGCATAGCATGCTCTGTCTTTGGGACGTCTTGTGCAGGAGTCCAAATCCTCAGTTGAACATCCCTTCCTGAACGCGTTTCAAAAGTATCGTCTCTGGACGTGAGTTGCCCCGCTACCAAGGCAAAGAGGTAGCAAGGCTTTTTGAAAGGATCCTCCCACACAGCATAATGAAATCCATTCTGACCACAGCACGTCAGGCTCTACACAATGCCAGTGAAGAAACAATGCCAACCTCGAGGTCTCCGGAGTCTATAAGGTTGCCATTCGACAAAAGAACGGGATACTGTGCTTTGTCCGCTTCTATCCTGGTAGTGAACTTTGCCATAACGTCTGGCCGATCCTGTAATAGCTCGCCAGAATGTCAGCCAAACATTGTCACAAAAAAAGACCTGGTAAAAGGTTATCTTTCTAAAACCTTCAGCTTCGCATTGTGTACAAAACATGCCGCTGGAAGACTTGTAGAGCCCCTTTTGGAGAAAAAAAAGTAACTTGATCCCACTTACTTCGAGAGACAAGTTAGTCTCCGGGTGTATCTCAGAGCCAATCTCTAAATCAAAAGGCTGAACAGGAAGTGACTTCAACGTCAGATGACGGCTGGTCAAATCAACTTCTTCCAGCTTCTGTTCTTTGCCGTTGATTTTAACAAAGAGAAGTTCACGTCACGACCATCCAAAACCAATGGCGGGCTTTCACCTGCATGGCTTCTGGTTAATGACTACCAAGATAGCGAACGAAACAACGAAAGTGAAAAAGAAAATACTTGAGTTTCTCGGCAAAACCCGGATCTTAGACACCACGGTTGTCTTTTTCTCAGACAGAACAAATTTCAGCTCGACCTGGATAGAAGGTGGACAAAACGAAAGCAGCATCCACTTAGTAGTGTCAAAGTGATAGCCAGTGGGCTTGTAATCCTTCAAAAAGATCTCCTTGGGAGCCTCTTTGACAGCCATCTCTTCAGCTACAGGAGAAGCTCCAACACCCACTGTGGAGAATTGGCTAGACCCTGCAAAAGCACGCTACAGTTCGACATGCCTTAGTCCGTAATGGAAAAAAAAAACGTACCGGCAATTTCAATCGGCTTCCGCGCACGCAACCAAGTTCCTACATTTTTTGTTCGAAGATGAGAACCAAAAACAATGCTTGAAACGAATTTCGAAGACAAGGCAAACGTGGAACTGGGTTTACAGTACCGAGTGAAGCTCCTTGTCTGCAAAAGAGAGTAGCAAATTCAGAGGAAGTAAATTGACATGAAAAGGAAGAACCGAGAGAGAACAAAAAAATCTGAAGCAAGAAGAAATAAAGCGCCGGGAAAGCTCTGGTGGCTAATGACAGTCGCGAGGAGACGGCCAAGACGAAACTAAGCCCTGGTCTCTGGCAAGGCGCCATGACGGTGGCCATTTCTCCTCTAAAACCCCTAACATCCAAAGACACAACACAGGCAGCTCCATTCTTTTAGAATCTCTACTGCTGGAGATAATCAAAGCACGAATGCGCTGCGCACAAAATTGCGAAAAACCTCTCGAGCAAATATTATCGCGCGCTCCTCTTCACGCGGTTATCTAAGGATTAAAAGTTACTAAGGACTAAAAGTTACTAAGAGAAGTTACTAAGGATTTAAAATTTACTACTAAGGATCGATCACCCATTGATAAGACGATTTGCATTCAAGAAAAGATGGGATTATTTGGGATTATCGATCCACAGCTCATGGGCAAGCTTGACAATCTCCTCCCCGGCCTTGCAAGGAGAGCCAGCATCGTACGGCGGCTGCGGATCATACTCGATCATCAGCTGCACCGCTTTGGCAATCTTCTCATTCGTGATGATCGAGGCCAAGTAGATGGCCATGTCGATCCCTGAAGAAACTCCTGCAGCGGTCACGATCTTTCCCTGCTTGATGTACCTCTGACTCGTCACCTTGGCACCGTATTCCTTAAGCTGCGGATACGCGGCCCAGTGCGTCGTGGCTTTCACGCCCTTGAGCAATCCCGCCGCGCCGAGGATCAGAGCTCCAGTGCACACTGAAGTGGTGAATGTTGTGCATTCGTGAGCCTGGAAGATCGACACAAGAACAAGCAGGGCTGGATCGATCGAAATGGATGAAGAAACGAGCAATTACCTTGCGGATGTAGTCGAGGAGTGGCTTGTGATCTAACGGCAGGAGCTTGGGAGTGCCTCCTGGAACTAGCAGAATGTCAGGATTGGGCAGATCTTCAAAGCTGGCGCTTGCTTCAATCTTGAATCTGCCTTCGTCTGCAACAACGAGGCCCGGCTTGTCGCTCACGAAGGTAACGCTCACTCCCGGGAGGCGATGGAGCGCTTCATACGGCCCAATTGCATCCAACACAGTGATGTTGTTGAAGATTGGAATGGCTACCTGGATTTTCGATCCCATTGGCTTCATGCTCAGTGTTGCTGATTCTTGAGCTGCTGAGATGGGTATTTATCCACTGCTCAAGCTGAACCAGGGGCCCATGTGTTGCACGTGTTTTCGTTCATAAACAAGTTGTAAGCAGCTGTTACAATTTCAATTGTCAACATGAAATAGTTATGTGCAAAATCAAAGTGGCAATTTGTATATTTCATAAAATGAAAATGAAAAAATCACAATGATTTTTAATCATATTTAGTTTGATAAGTAAAAGACAACATTAATATTAACTAATTTTAAACACTGACTAGTTTAGTCCTGACCATGGCTCAAACAGAGGGGAAAGCTTACTACAGGCTCCTGAAATGCTAGCTATGACTTGCCAGAGTCAGGATGGCCGAGCCCGGTCTCCAAGGAACTTTGTTCTGTTTTGCAGGAAAGACCTTTACCGAGTTTCTTCAAGACTTTCAGTGACAGTGTGAAATACTGGACAACCTTTAACTCAGACAATGACCAGTTCGCACTGAGCACCTTATGGAAACTGCTACTGAGTCTTACGTTTGTCCTGGCTCCAGTCGCGCTGCTCTACTTGCGGAGGCTGCGGAACAAAAGAATGCGAGTGGAGTTCCCCAGCGGTCCACGTTCCAAGAGCCAGCAGTGGAGGCTGAATGCCAAAAGTTGCGATCAAGCGGCTCGAGAGTGGTGGAGACGAAGCTGACGTGATTGCCATTGGGATAGTGTTGAGATATACGCTCTCTATGACATGATCTTAGGTGGCAGGAGTGCTAAGCTAGATCCTTGTTTAGGCTAGAGGCGTGTCTTTTGATTATGTATATATAGCTATGATGTTATATTCAACTATCCTTCGAGTCATCCTTGTCCATCATAGCTTCTGCATATCTCTTTCATGGTATTGGAGCCTTGAAGGCTCCAGATCCTGGGACAATGGCGCTGGCCGAGGAGGAGGTCAACAAGGATGATGATGAGCCACTGGACGTGGTTGAGAGGTGCCAAGATTTGGCACTGCACTGCACTAAGCGCCAAGATAACGGCACTAGCAAGCTGAGCAAGGCGCTAAGGCATGATTTAGAAGAGACTGGCCCGGAGGTGCTAACAAAGGCGCTGAGAGAGGGCTGGCATGGTACTGGAGCGCTAAGTGATGCATGCTAGGGCGTGAGATAGCGGCCCTGAGGGATAGCTGAGAGGAGGCACTGCACTAGGGCGCGAGAGAGCACTGGACACAGCGCAGAGCCGTTGAGAGAGGGCTGGTGCGGCAATAGGGTGTGGGAGAGCACTGGAGAAGGCCCTGAGGCGCTGGCAGAGGCGCTGAGAGAGTGGTGTGCACCGAGCAGAGAGACTGGCCAGAGGCGCTGACAGAGGTGCTGGGCACTTGACATTGGCCAGGGGTGAATGCCATGAAAGAAGAAGAGCGGAAGTTACGATGACTTGGAATGATAATCATATATTTAGCTATAATGTTATATTTTATTATCCTTCGAGTCATTTTTGTCCATCATAGCTTTTGCATATCTCTTTCAGATAGAATAGGCAATGCAGGTTCTCAAAATAAGTTACATTGTCAGCTTATATATATTATTTATCACATACAAAAAGTAATACTTTGTAATAAATTAGTCCATTGCCAGCCTATTGTTAAATTCGTTCAAAAAAAGAGTTGACACCTGAAAAAAAAAACACTAGACCTAAAAAAAAACAAAAAGAAAACTGAAAAAGAAAAAATTAAACCTAAAGAAGAAAAACAAAAAGAAAATTTGACCCAAAACATGCCTTTGGTTACTCTAATTTGGCACTATTTTATAAAAACTGAATATTTAATTTCATCTGTTAATATGGTGCTTATTAGGTAAAAGGGAAAAATTGCCTCCACAGGCATATCCTCACAGTAAAGACACAATGCAATGGCCTCATATGCCAACCTAGAGGAAAAAAATAAACTTGCAGAGTTCATCTCCTTGAGATTCTGCTTTCTCAACCTCCCGAAACACAACAAACCCGAAATAACCTAGAAAGTCTCTTGACTTTTACCAGAGCTTGTGATTTTGATGCCAGACAGAAAACAAAGGTTTTTCTGTTGTGATCATCAATGAAACTCATGAAAAACCATGAACCTCCATAGAAAACATGGGGAGAAGGGCCCCAAATGTCACTATGAACAAGTTCTAGTATTTCAGAGCCACGTCATGCTCCTCGCTTTGGAAAAGGAAGCTTGTGTTGTTTCCCAAGCTGGCAACCATCGGAAAAGGAAAGTTTTGCAGTGGTTGTGAATCAAGGCCTTCGACAAGTCTGTCCGTCGTGAGCTGAGCAATGCGCCATGTGCTCGCATGTCCGAAACGGCAATGCCACAGCTCAAGCTCGTCCAGGGTAGAAGCCATGAACGTGAGGAACTGATGAGGGCGTTCAACCACTTCAGCAGCTCGTATTGGCTCCATACAAAGCTTGTATAGACCTTTCCCAGCTTGTCAAATGACAAATCCTAAGTCACCCGCGGGAGTGAGCAAAATGCATCCAGATTTGCTGAAACGAATGTCAAATCCAGATTCAGTGAGTTGGCCGACAGAGAGCAAGTTCGCACTTAAGTGTTGGAACAAGGTATACATCATGAATTGTGGTGCTAAAACCACTCTCAAGTTTGAGCAAGATGGTACCTCGACCAGTGACTTGGAGCTGTCTTCCATCTCCTACTGCAACTGTGCTCAAACTGAGTTTAGGATCAACATCTTGGAGCGTCTTGAACCACTGAGCGTCATGCGTCAAGTAATCCGTCGCTCCTGAATCAAAGAACGACGTTTCTTGATTTTTAGATGCGATATAGAGTGAACGTACTGAGCCAAAAGCTGTTGCATCAGCTTGATGAACCATCAATGCCTTAGCCTTCGTCTTCAGTCATTTCTCTGGGTATTTGAACCAACAGTTGTGTTCAGCATGATTCGTTTTCTTGCAATGTGGGCAGGGGTTGAATTTTCTGGTTGTGCTGGAAGAACTCCCCTGGAACATGACATTTTCTTCTTGCTTGGCCGAGCTGTGATATTGTAGGAAGAAGTCTCACTCTTTTCCATCGTTTTTCGTCGCAAGGCAGTGTTGTGTAACGCTGTCGTGACTTCTTGCCAGGAAATTTGACCACCGGGGACTGTGGGTTGAAGCGACTAGATGGTTGTATCGAAGGTGGAGGGGAGCAAGCTGAGGAGATGCTCATATTCCTCAGCTTCATCCATCTGTGCGCCCACAGCAACTAGGTCGTCCAAGATTTGTTTGATGACAGCAACATGGTCATCGGCGGACATTGCCATGGAGTAGAGCTTCTGGCGAAGATGCATGCGATTAGCAGGTGTCTGCTGCTCATGAATTGCTGTAAGGGTTGCCCACACCTCACATGCTTTTGTGCAATGTGATACTGCTCAAAAGTCTCGTGTGTGTAAGGCTTGGAACCTTGCCAAGGGCTTTGCAATTAATCACAGCCCATTTGTGCTGTCCTGCTCATCTTGGGGAGCTGTTCAAGGTCTCTGTGGGGCATGGTCACGCCCCACAGCCTTTGTTCATCCAAGTAGCATTTGATGTGAATGTATTTAAAATGTATAGTAGGGATGGTAATCTTAAGGCATAATTTAGCTCTTGCTTCCTGTCCTTATTATGTGGTTTAAGTTTAATTTCCATACCATGGTGGGGTATTGATATTTTATATAGGCCATTAATATGTTGAAATAATGCCAAATTTCATTTAGTTCTATTTTACATGCTAATTATAGCATTAAGATTAGAACTATTTAATGTCATTCCGTCCTTCTCTCCTTAAGCTGAACACTCAAAAAAAAATTTGTGCTTTAATTCCTTTATTCTTTAGCTGCAAATTTAGGAATTAAGCTTTATTCCTTCATTTAATGGCCTATAGCCCTAAAACTCAAGTTTCATTGGACACATGGCATATATTTCCAAATGGAAAAATCAGTAACTATAATGGGAGAGAGATGAGAAGGGAGGGAGGAGGAGAATTCATCACCTTTGAAGGCTACCTAACCAAGCAATCAATCTCCTTGCCCTAATTCACCTTGTCTTGCTGTTGTGTGAGCATGCTGATGCATTCTATGCTACTCTCTCTATCTCCTCGTCATTCTAGATCGTACTCCTCTGATACCATGTTATGATGTTCAATTGAGATTGAATTGTTAAGCTTGGAATTCACAACATGGTATCAGAGGAGTATGATCTAAAATGACAAGGAGACTGGAGAGCGTAGCTTAGGATGCATCAGCATGCTCATGCAACACTCACAAGATGAATTAGGGCAAGGAGATTGATCACCATGTTTGTGCACAATCATGCCAAGGTCTTTGTCTGGGATAGGCTTGGAGGGTGCAGCCAAAAATCAGAAGCGCAATGGGCAAAATGCCAAGAAAAAAAAGGACAAGAAGTGCAAGGATAATAGCTTGTGTAATATTTGCAAGAAACCAGACTTGTAGTCATCTTTGTATTTTTGGTTGTGTTGCTTATGCTTTTGTCACCAAGAAGCATGGCACCAAACTTGAAGATTGCAGCGTGAAGGCTATTCTCATTGGCTATGGTGACTAGAAATGAAGGCTTACAAGCTCTACAGCCTTTCCAGTTCAAAGATCTTTCACAGTCATGATGTGATCTTTGACAAGTCTCAGACTTTATGCTACTCACAATCTTCCCACAGCAATCGAGCCCCCAGTCAAGTGTCAATAGTTTGTGGCAATTGACAGTGATGGAGAAGACACCTCTACTTCTAGGCTCTTGTTTATTTCTTCACAGCTACCATCGTCTCCTCTGTAGACGGAGCCGATCGGCTTTCAGTTTTCATGAAGGAAAACTGGATGAAGAACCGCTGAGAGCTGCCGTCAGTAAGAGACCCCCCACAATGATCAGGTCCACAGCATGCCAGCATCACTGCCGGAGTACTGTGGACCTGATCATCGTTTGAGCCAAATGAGCGCTATCCATGCCCAGTGTTATGGGAGATTTCTAGGTTTTTCCGGGGATCTAGGGAACCCGGCGGCCGTTCTCCCGGTTTGTTGTGTCTAGTTTTCTCTACAAGCTCTCGTTTTTCTCTCTTTTTCTTTAGGGAATCCTCGCGGATTGTCCATCCAAGCTGCTGCTTTCTAGGTTTGTTGTGTTTCGGGAGGTCGAGAAGGCCGAATCTCAAGGAGACGGCCAAAGATTCCCCTGTCTAACTGTGCAAGCTTGTTTTTTCTCTCTCGTCTTTACTGAGTTTGCTGGTGCAGGTTTGTTGTTGAGTTTCGTCTCTTAGCTCCGCTGTGAACGCTTTTTCCAGTGATGAAGACCAGATCATCTCCAGGAATTCTCTCAGGTGTGCAGTGTTTTAAACTGGATGGATTTGATCTTTTCCTGTTTTTCTTTGTTTAGGGGGTATCGATCGAGTGAAGACTACATATCCATATGTAGCAGTTAAAAAAGCAGACAGAGAGCATGGAGGATATCCAATGGACAGGTTTTGCTATGAAAGAAATGTAAGCTTTATATTTGTCTCAGGCTTTGTAATATTGTTTTTTTTTGTGTAATTTCTTTGGCCTGAGGATATGCTTGCAGAGGTAACTTTTCCCCCTTACCTAAAGGGTGTGCGTTTGGAAGAGGCACAGCAGGCATATCAACAGAAGAAACCAAATATCCGGTTTTTACCAAATGGTGCTAAAACAGAATTTAGTAAAGCAACTAAAGGCATGTTTTGGGTCACTGTTGGACGGTAAGTTCTCTTTTTGTTTCTCTTCTTTAATTTTAGTCTTTTCTTTTTCAGAAATTCTACTTTAGATAGCATCCCAGATGCAATCAACCATTTACTCTTTTTTTATTGCCTTCCGAATGAGTTTGACAATGGGCCAGTGATGGATTAGTTTATTACAAGATATTCCTTCTTGTGTTTACATGTAAAGTAATATTTCTTGTTTTTGTTGCAATAAATGTGAAGCCTTTTTTGTACAAATCGCAACTGTTATGAATTTAAGGTAGTAGAGAAAGCCTTTTTGATAAATAATATATAAGAGTTTTGATGCTATAGTCACTTTGAAGTTAGCTCGCTTTGAGAGCCTGCATTACCTTTTTCCGAATAGCTATCACCTCGGCTTTGCCTCGTCCTGCTAAAGTTAGCGTTGGCTCCAGGAATGTGAACTGCTGTGGAACTTCCGAGATGGAATCTAGGAGCTTGTCACTCACGTTCTTCTATTTTGCAGCCTCTGCCGTGTGAAGCACTGGACAACCTTTAACTCAGCTCAAAATGACAATGGCGCACCATGGAAACTTGTCTTGAATTGAAACTCAAAAGTTCCTTAAGGCTAAAGGCAAATGACTGCTGGATCTCAAGGATTGCCTTGGGTAAACTTGGTTTTGAATAAAAATTAATGCTTTCTGAGATCAAGTCATAGTTTAAGCATTAACATCAATGCTTTATTAAGGTTAACTTGCTAGAGTTTGTTCTTTTGCAAGAGGTAAATGAAAGTCTTCAAAAACTGCATTGGACTTCCATTGACTGACGTTGACTTTGAGCTCTCAGGTCAGCTAGTGCATGTTCCCCGAGTTTTCTTTTTTTCATTTTGCTGCAGTGGAAAGCATAGAAAATCATCAAGTAGTGTGGTAAGCCATAGGAGGAATGATCTAGTTGTTTATGTTTTGAGGGATTTGCAAAAGCTTCCCACAATATTTGTTGCTCAAGGATATTATCTATCCATCGTTTATAATCTTGTGGTACCCAACCTCGAAGCATGTGACAAATGACTGCAAGTGTTTGTGAAATTTGCTAACGAAAGAACGAGGATTTACTTTGGCATTGATCAAATTCGCGAGAATAGTTCCTGGATGCTGCCCTTCTGGACGTCACCCGCGCATATCTGCGAGAAAGAGCTTCCACTGTTCTAAGAGAATCCTCGTCTGATCAGCAAGACATTTACCTCCACGATTTTCTCTGAGGCTTCCGGGACCACGATCGCTTCCACGCAAACTTCCGCGACCTGATCCACGAGCCGCAAGACCTTTTAGATGCATGCTTTCCTGCTAGAGTTTCTTACCTTTGATCGACTGATACCACCTATGAAGAGCGAGTCGGCTGGCCTCATGACGAGAGCCTCATCCTGGAACAAAAAGAAACGTTATCTCTAAGAAACTTAGGAGAGAATAGCAACGCTTACAGCGGGTGCGTTCTCTCGTAGACCAGCAGGCCTTACGATAGTGTACTCAAGCCCTGAGCGTTGCAATGCAAGCTCTGCCTGCCTTTTCCTGAGGAAGGATAAAACGAGTGAGACAACATTCTTGCGAAGTTAAAGCTTGTTTCGCTTACCACCACAGAATGGGGATTATCTGGAGGAATGACGAAACTCCTATCGACGTGACCAGTATAAACTGCGAGTTAAATGTCAGTCTGGATAGACAATACTTTGCTTGCTACCTTTTTCACTTGTCCTTGGTTCTTGGCTGCCGAGATAAGGTTCACAACTCCTTCATACTCGATCTGCAAAAAATCACTCAGTGTCAAAGAGAATGTGATTAACAACTTAAGAACCTGGTAAGTCTTCATAATATCCAGCGGGAAAAACTTCGTCCCAATGGCACACACGACCGCATTACTGTAAAGCTTGCATTAGACTGGAAGATGAGAAAGAGCCAAACGTACCTATCACCCAGTGCTTGCTTGAGAGTTTCGTATTTACAAATGTCGCCACGGACAGCCTGCTTGTCCAGAAAGAAGACACGTTACCAAACAACGCAGTGACACCAGCAGCACAAATTTCAACTCACAGTCACGTTGCCCTGCTCGTTGAATCGATTGGCCTTATCACGACACAATGCTCGCACTTTGGCACCTCCTTTCGAGAGCTTTTCCACCACGAGCCTGAGTTTAGAGAATCAAAACTTGGTTACAAAGGCAAAAACGAAAGAAAAAAGCAAGAACGGAAAAACGAACTCACGAACCTTCCAGTTCTTCCCGAGGCACCAGCCACGAAAACCTTGAGATCAGCAAACCGCCCTTGATCGTGCCGAGGTTGCTCCTTTGGTTCCGTGCCATCTTGATCGTGCCGGGGCTGCTCCTTTGATTTCTTGCCATCTTGATCGTGCCGGGGATGCTCCTTTGATTTTATGCCTTTAGACGAATCCACGGGAGCGCTGCCAGAAACTTCTTTCGAGACTGCCTCAGCCCCCCCAGCTTCTACGTTCTCTTTCAAATCTCCTCCCAAAGAAGAGATGCCCTCGAGCCGATCTCTCTCTTCTGAGTCTTCCAATCCATCGTCAGCTTCGTTCTCCTCTCTCAAATCACCTGGCAAAGAAGACACGGCCTCGGGCTCTTCCGACTCCTCAACTCCATCCTCGCCATCATCCGACGCAGCATCCTCGTCGGAGATTTCTTCATCCAGCGCATTATCGAGCAAAGATTTCTCTTGCCGATCTTCCTCATCCCCGTCGGGAGTCGAGCTATCCAGGATGTGAGGCTGCCGGACGAGCTCTTCCTCCACCGGATCATACAGATTACGCTTATTCAGGAGCTTCATATGCCCTGCACAGACCGATGCGATCAACAACAGCCAAGACGCAAGAACAAGAGAAGAAAATTTCCACTCACGAGCTCGCCGATGCTTCGTCCGCGCCACAATCTTCTGCATATCGCGCTTGGATCCTCCCGACGCCGTCGAGCATCGCACCAATCCGCGAGCGCGCCTCGCCGGAGGAGCATCCGCATTGGACCGCCATTGCCATGCGGCATCGAACCCCAACGTTAATTCCATACTCCCTTCTCTTTATTTTTAGGGTTTATGCCACTCGCTTGTTTTGTTCTTGCGCCAAGCGCGTTGCCGCCTTCCACGTCGCCGATCGATCGGGAGGTGGTCGCATAGGCAGCATCTTCTCGAGCGCTGGTCGATCGATCGCGAGGTTTTAGGGTTCTTATTTAAATCTGCGGGTGGTCGGGGAGAGGCAATTTGGGTATTTTCGCGTGGTTTTGTGCTTTCGTTCGTGTGTGGATTCGTTCGAAGATAGGTGCCTCTTGTAGTAGCGCGGCAGTCGCCACACAGCGCTGCAATATGAGGAAGAGTTCCAGGCGCACTGGCGTGATGCCCGCTCCAGCGGCGATGGCTCCACCCGGTAAGCCAGTTCTTTCACGCGAAAGCCTTACTCTTTCCTTCTTTTTTTCTCCATAGTGAAGAAAAAGAAAAGGACTGACACGAGTTTGAATCCAGCAAAGTCGAGCTCCAAGGAATTCGATAAGTGTGACACCTTGTTCAGTCGCTATGCTGAGAAGAATGACAAGTGCTTGATCGGGTGAGTGAGAGCTGGAAATTGTTTGATCGGCTGGTCGTATTGACAAACGTTGTTGCGAAAAAAAAAAGTCCGGAAGGAATAGAGGCGCTGTGCCGGGACTTGCAGATCGAACCCACGGATATGCGTATTCTTCTCCTGGCTTGGTGAGTATTTCCGAAAGCTAAGAGCTTTGAGCGAATCTTCCGGTTATATGTTCCAGGAAATTCGGAGCTGACAAGCAGGGATTCTTCACGCTGGTGAGTCTTGCTTTTGAAAGTTTTTTTCGCGCATTCAAGGATTGTTTGTTCTAGGAGGAGTGGCGAGCGGGCTTGAAGGCCTTGAAAGCGGATACACTGGATAAGTTGAAGAAGGCACTCGCAAATCTCCAGCAACAGGTGCGTGAGTGTATGATTCAAGCATCTTTTCGCTTATATAAGTTATCTTGCTTTCCAGGTTGCGGATGACGAAGAAGAATTCAAGTCCTTGTACAGCTTCTCCTTTCAGTATTGCTTGACAGGTAATCGCAAATCATCCATCCATCGCTGTCGCTGTAGAGATTGATGAACCTCCTTTCTCTTCCAGAACCAAGGCAAAAGACGCTGGATCTCGATTCGGCGTGCCAAATGCTGGAGCTCATTCTCTCGGGACGACCGCATTTGGATTCCTTCACTCGTTTCCTCCAGGTACTTCGTTGCTCTTTCAGGTTTCTCCAGAGTTTTCGATCGATCTTCACTCTTGGTTGGGATACTTTCTTCTCAGGAGCAAAAGGAATACAAGGGGATCAATCACGATCAGTGGATTGGATTTCTTCGCTTTTGTGACGAGGTATTCTAAAACTTTTTAAACGTTTTTTCGCGGGATCCCATCTTAACACTCGCTTTGGATCAATCACGCAGGTGAGCACTGATATGAGTAACTACGATGAGACGCAAGCGTGGCCTCTGCTCCTGGACAACTACGTGGAGTGGTCAAAACAGGCCGGTGGCTCCAAAGAGCCCATGTAAGAGAGAGGTGGAATATGCGATTGGAAATTCTTTTTTGCCCTCCCGCGTGGCATGGTGCGCTGGCACAGCTAGACAAGTGTTAGCCAATGTAGGCCCAGTATTCGAATGACGTGTCTCGTGACGTGGTGCATTGTTACTACAATTTGGGGGAAGACGATGGATCTTTAGATCTTTCTCCTCGCTCGCGCTGTAGCAACGACGAAAGGAGCCTCAATCGGTGATGCGCGTTGGCTTTTCAGTGGCCGTGCTGCGATGTCGGCGCTTGCGGTCTTAGGTCTAGGATTTGTGGCTGTAGGTCGGGATTTCTAGGGGAGCTCCGCTCCACAACAGGGAGGAAGAGGATTTCGCTGCTAATGCTGCTCGATCGATCGAGGCAGCTCACGAGATGGTGAAAGATACGGAGTATTACGACGTTCTAGGATTGACGCCGGATGCGAGCGCGGCCGATGTAAAGAAGGCGTATTATGTTAAGGTAATTGTCTCGTCTCGCTTGGCAAGCTCTCGATCGAGAGTGATCTTTTCTCTTCCGGACAGGCTAAGAAGGTACACCCAGACAAGAATCCCAATGATCCACAGGCCGCAAGGAATTTTCAAGTAAGTGAGCTAGCTCCTTTCCAATCTTCCAAGCGATTCTTACAAGGGATTCCATAAACTCTCTAGCTTCTCGGGGAGGCGTATCAAACGCTGAGCGATCCTGCGAAAAAAGAAGCCTATGACAAATTCGGCAAAGCTGGAGTGTCAACGTAAGTGTCTTTGCTACGAAGGTTCCATGTGTTCTCATCGAGGCTTTTTTGTTCTTGTGATGTTTCTTTCTTTGCAGAGACCAAATGCTCGACCCCGCTGCGGTGTTTGGCATGCTCTTCGGAAGTGAGATGTTTGAAGATTACGTTGGGCAGCTTGCAATGGCATCTATGGCGTCCATAGATACTTCAAGTGGTGATAACCAAGCCATGGATCTGAGGCAAGTACAAGAGAAGCTCAAGGTGAGTAGCTAGCGCTTTTGTTTTCTGTCTAGTTGCTTGCTCTTTAGTTTTCCGTCCGTTAACTCGGCCTTGTCTTCGCTCTTCACAGGTTTTGCAACAAGAGAGGGAAGATAAGCTTACCAAGTGCTTAATCGCTCGTCTACAGCGTTATGTTGACGGCGACAAAGACGGGTTCAGTGAATGGGCGAAAAACGAGGCTCAGCATCTTTCGAATGCGGGTATTATATAATCTTGGTGCTGAGCTTTGATCCGTGTTTTTTAACCCCGAAGTGCTTTCTATAATTTTGCCCTGTAGCTTTTGGAGAGCCGATGCTGCACACGATTGGGTACATATATGCTCGACAGGCTGCAAAGGAGCTTGGTAAAAAAATGTTGTTCATGGGAGTTCCTTTCTTGGCGGAATGGGTTCGTGACAAGGGACACTTTATCAAGTCACAAGTGACCGCCGCGGCTGGTTTGTAGAGTTTTACTCAGCTCCGCTTTTGCCATTATTCTAACAAGCAACTGTTGTCTCAGGTGCGATCGCCTTGATGCAAATGCAAGAGGATATGAAGAGGCAGCTCGCCGCCGGGGGTGATATGAGCGAAAGTGCCATCGAAAAGTATCTTGAATCCAAGCAACAAGTGATGATCGACTCTCTGTGGAAGCTCAACGTCGCGGACATCGAGGTCACTTTATCGCATATCTGCCAGAACGTAAGCAAGAGATATCACAACACTCTGATATACTCTGATATACAACAAACGTGATATACTTTCCAGGTTTTGCACGATGCTACCGCTGGAAGAGAAGTTCAGAGGCAGCGCGCAAAGGCTCTGAAAAAGCTGGGGAATATTTTCCAGGTTTGTTTGCATTCTCCATTCTCTTATCCTTTGTTCCGACAGGGCTTACAGGGAGCCAAAGTTCCGTATAGAAGAGAGAAAAGCCTTCGTCACGACGCGAAGCTGGGTCAAGACAGCTCGAGCTCCACACCGACGCCTCAACCGAGTAATTCATCTCAGACCTTCCAGGTTTTTATCACTTAAAGTTGTTTCCAAGCTCAAATCTTCCATGAACTTTTCTTTTGTTTGATTTGTTCTTCCAGAACCCAGCGGATGGTGGTTTTGCTAATCAGCCCACGTCAATGCCATCTCCAGCTGCTCCTCCGGGCATGGCATGAAAAAAATGGGAGAGATTGTGAAGAAAAGATCGATACTCCATTCTTTCATTGCGTGTATTGTGTGCCTATGTGATCTGACGGGTATAATTGAGACACGTGTCTAGTGGGCATTTGAATGATTCTAGGACGAGAGACAGCAAGGAAAGCGTCCTCCCGTAGAGTTTCTTGGCATTTGCAAGGCGTGATTAGGGCTTGTGGGAGCTCCGCTAGGGCTCTTCGATCCCGATCCTCGCCGCAATGTCGGACGCAATGGTAAATGGATTGGCAGGCGCTGGAGGCGGCCTCGTCGCGCAGCTCCTCACTTACCCGCTCCAGACGGTATTGTTAGCTTCGATCGATCGAACCGAGCGTGATTCTGTGATGCATTCTCAGGTAAATACTAGACAGCAGACGGAGAGGAGATCAAAGAAGCCGTCTTCCTCCTCGTCGGATGGTTCGCAAGCGACAATTCGGAAGAGTGGCACAATTTTGGAGATCTACAGGGTATGTTTTGGATCTTGGGGCGTTGACGGAATTATTTTGGTGTCATAGGTGATAGCGGAGGAAGGATGGGGTGGATTATATAGAGGTTTGACACCCTCACTTCTGGGAACAGTAGCGTCTCAGGTTTGTATGCGTGCTAAAGTCGTGATGAACTTATAGTTTTATTTGTTTGGTTTGTGCAGAGTGTGTACTACTATTTCTATCAGCTGTTTAGAAATGCGGCCGAGTCTAATGCTAGACGGAGGAGAAAGAATGGCATTGGAGATGGTACTGTTGGTATGTCCGACTCACTACTTGTAGCAGCATTGGCAGGGTAATTGGTCTTGATGCTTGTCTCTGACTTTGGAGTTCCTTTTTGCCTATTGCAGAAGCTTGAACGTACTCCTGACGAATCCTATCTGGGTCGTGGTGACTAGAATGCAGGCATGTTGTGCTAGCTCGTTTTCGTTGCTTCATATTACCGATGTTTCAGACACAAACGCAAGCGGAAATGAAATCAAGCGCTCTTCAAAGTGAGATTGAGAAACCTCCTGCATCCCGTGAAGCATTGCCAGCGGATGTTGAAAGTCAAGAAAAACAAATAAATATTGTCTCTCCTGCCACCAATCATGGTGCCGCCTACACTGTAAGTTAATGTTACCTTTTTTTTTATGTTAGTCTTGATGATGATTGCTTGTTAGGTTCAAGACCTCTACCGCGAAGCCGGTTTAATAGGCTTTTGGAAAGGAGTTCTTCCCACTCTTATAATGGTAACCACCAAACTTTGCATCCGAAACTCTCACGTTCATGTATCGAACAGGTTAGCAATCCCGCTATTCAATTTATGATTTATGAGACCCTATTAAAGGAACTCACCAAAAAGAGAAAGATAAACAAGCATGGGATGAAAGATGTTTCCCCTTTAGAGGTAAATGCGATTGCTTCCAACATTCCTCGGTTGACAGTTAACTGCCAGATTTTTGTAATTGGTTCTATTGGCAAGCTCGGTGCCACAATTGCCACATACCCGCTGCTCGTAGTAAAGGTACTGAAGTTGATGTTATGGTTGTCCCTTTCGCTAAAAGATGTCCTTGGGTTACCAGTCGCGCCTCCAAGCGAAGCAAGCAATCGGTAGGGATAAATCAACGCAGTACACAGGTTGAGTATCGATATTGTTTCGTGTCGTTGAGTTGACGTATGTGACCTTTGAACAACAGGAACTTTAGATGCAATCTTCAAGATGATCAGGTACGAAGGTTTGACCGGGTTCTACAAGGGGATGAGTACAAAGATCGTACAGAGCGTGGCAGCTGCGGCCTTGCTCCTTATGATTAAGGAAGAGCTGGTCAAGGTGGCTAGAAAGCTATTACTGAGGCGGCAAAAGAAACTTGCATCTCGTTAGCTGCTAAGAGGTAAACTCTTCTTCTTTGTGCTGGTGTAAGGTAACCTTCGATTTGTTTTTCCAGGCGATTTGAAATAATTTCTGACTTGACTTCCCAAGGCGTGAAGGATGTTCCATTCTTGGCTCGTTTGAAAGCTGCCACCCGAAAGATTTAAAGATATGGATCGGTTGGAATCCACACGGGTGTGGCCAAGCACTTTGTATTGGTAGTCACAAGGGGCCACTCTTTCCTTTGTCGCATTACAAGCCGGAGCAGAGCTGGAGAACATGCAGGTGGATTGGACTAGGATCAGAGATCAAGAGAGAGGGTCCGGGATCTTCTTTCCAGCAAGTTGGAGCAGTCGTGAATTGCGTGGATGCTTGGTGGAAAGAGCTGTCACCAGGTTGCTGGGGCTTGTCAGGGACAAAGTCTTTGGCAAACACACTCTACTAGTATGAAGACCGATTGTCTTGTCAGTACTCTCTCTCGAATTGAGACTCCGCGTCAATGCGGAGAGATGTTGCTCAAATGATCCTGCGCTAAGCCGACCGTCGCTCGCAGCAAACACCCGAGCTTATTAACCTTGACCTCTGACAGTGACTTTGTGGCTGCAGCAGCAAATAGATTGGTGGGACGTTCCCATTCAGCACAACGAGTAAACAAAGAACGAGAGGTATGAGTTGTGCTGCTTTGGTGCGAGCTGAATATTATACTAACACCTTGGACGTTTGACTGTGTATCCAGAAGGAGCCAAATTGGCGTGTTTACAAAAGCTCGAGCATTTGCGGTCCCACTCGTTAAGTAGCTACCCTCGTGGAGGAGAGAAAAAAAGAAAGAGGAGAAAAACTGCAAGAGGAAGAAGAAAAGGTTTGCTATTTTATGCTACAGTTCTCATGTTCTTGCTTGTATAGCCGCACATTTGGGACTACGAGCAGCCCGAATGAGACTCGCAACAGCGAGCTCTCAACTACCAGCGTAGCTTCCTATATGATTGTGGCTCGAGAGATGGTACTCGTTCTTTCGATTTACCGGCCACTGCTCCTTGGAATTTCTCTCGGCTTTACAACAAAACTTTTAGCGTGTGCAGTGGTGCTAGATCTACCGCAGCCTGGCACTCTGCAATCAAGGATCGTGCTGTCGGTACGCTTTGACTTCCTGTAGCCGCAGCCGACGTCCTCGCGTTGGCTACGGCTTGCTTTGTTTCCTTCCTTTTTCGCGTCCTCTGTGTATGATACTAATCAACTCTTTCTTCTGTAGGATAAAGCAGGAACACGCACAGAGGCCGTGTGCATATACCGGCAAACAGATTACGAAAGAAGTGATTATATGTGCACCGGAGAGGGAGGTAGGTGCATGTAAACATCAATCATACGCCTTCTGGAGTTGAGATTCCCAGAAGAAAATAAAACTCGAATAGACAGGCTCTCTCCGTGCGACACAATGCTCTGCAATTAATGGGGGAATGGAAAATCCCTCTAGAATGGTGAGCCGTCTCCGTGGTTGCTTTTGTTTTTACTGGATTGTCTCTCTTTTTTTTTTTTTTTTACAGGGTGGAGGAAAGTGGACTTGGAGCCATGAGTTACAACTGTCCGATGGTTCCCGGAGGAACTACAAAAGCTGGTAACTTCACACCGACAAAACTGTTTCAGGATCTATCTCCCAGTGAAAATGTGGCGACCTCGGTGTGCACAGGATACCAGGGGTGCTGTCCGACACCACGGCGTGAGATATTCCATTGCTGTGAGATCTTCTAATCCAGGTTCGCCAGCATCGTAGCTTAGCTCACTCTTATTTCCTTGCTTGCACAAGATATTGACTTAGTGGAAGGTTTATCGCCTTGCGCACAACCTAACGACCGTGCTCTCGTTTTTAAAACATTTGCTCCAGGGAACACGAAGAAATACACATGGCCTTATATTCGACTTTGGCTTGGCTCGCCGTGCTACGTGATTTTCCGCAAACTGGCCAAAGAACTACTAATATCAACCAACTAATCTCACCGTCATTTGACGTCAGCCTACATTGCTGCCGAGCTCATGGTGATGAAGGCAAGCCATATTTTCTGTTCTCTTGTTTTGGTTTCTCTTTTCTTTCGCTCGGTTCTTTTTTTCCCTCATGCTTTGTTCTCTTCCTCGCGCAGGGTGTGTTGCAACTTGGACAGCGATGGCGGTTTCCTGATTGATTTAAACGGGGGCCGTGTCTCATTCCCAGCCCGTTTTGTTTGCGTGAAGCTTCTTCTCAAAGCGCGTAAGGTTCGTTCTACTGTGCTTGCTTAGAATCGATTTTTATAACCATGGAGATTCTTAAACGTTTCCAAGGAAATCCAAGCTTCGTTTTTTATTTCCAGGAACGAAAGAGCGGTTGTTGGCCAGCGGCGTGGGTGTTCTAAACACCACGAAAAACGCGAATTCTTCCGGATGAGCTCATCGTTTTGCCCTTTTTCCCTTACGATATCCGGGTCTACTGGTAGACATAGATTTCGTTTGTCATATTACATGAGCTCATCATTGTTACAGGTTAGTTTATGTGTCGTTACAGACCTTCATTTAAACAGCCGAGAAATTTGGCCGCGTTTGTGATGCAAGCAAAGCCAGCCAACAAGCAAGCCTCCACCATCGCCGGGTAAAAACATTTGTTTTTCCACTTCTCACTCACTCCAGTTTTTAACCGAGGGGAGGAAGAATGTCGACAAGGATGGATTGTCCTTGAAAGTGAAGGGAATCGAACCCTGTCAACCCGGAAAATTAATCCCGCGGCCGTGGGGCCGCCGGGGTTTTGTCGGAGATGCAACGACATGGGACCCGAAATCATATCGGACGCTGATGCCCGAGCCACTGAGGCGCGCACACGTGGCAGTCCACAGGGGCCGCAGTTAATGCTTGGGTCCCGCCACGTGCGCGCTAGATGCTGGGTTCCAGAAGGCTGACGTGGCCAAACGGTTTTTTTGCCCTGGAGGTCCCAGGCTCGAATCGCAAGCGCGTCGGAAGGGATCTCGCCAAAGTTTAAAATAATCGCAACTCGCAACGTTTCGCTTGTTGACAAGAATTTTTTTTATAATCTTGTCAATGCAACTTGATCGTATTTTTTGTGGAGACCGGATAATGTCGGTGAAGACCCAATCCACAGCGTCCGATTCTTCTGATATTTGTTGTCGTCCGTCCGTTCCGTCCGTCCTTGTGTATGTTTGATACGCTTGGACCATCCAGTCTCTATACACGCTGTTTCAAGAAGACACGGGATGACCGCTTCCACAAGCACACAAGAATTGTATATCGTACATGAGAATGCGACCGTCAACTTTATGAAAAAGCTCGCGGGGAAAAAAAAAAAAACAAGAAAATTTGATGCGAGATGGAAAAACTACCCTCTGGTCGTTTGCTTGAACTGCAAAGTCACGTCTTATCGAGCTTTATATTCCTTGGAGACATATCAATGGGGGCCATACCACCTTTCCAAAGTCCGTAAGTCTGTTAAGCAAAGATTTGCTACGCACAAATTATATTAATATTAGTTACACCTTACCAACCACGAATCAGGGAGCCCTAACCAGGGAGGATATTCGGTGATCCATGGCAAGAATATGTGATGATTGATGTGGTGGTGGTAGCAACCTAGTATTGCGCGCGTTTAAAATCTCCGGGGGTGGGAACAAGGGTTTCTCTGCAGCTCAAGTGTCACAATTCCATCCGGTCTCTGTCACATCCCTCTCGCTTTCGATCGATCGCTCCTCCCTCTCTCTCTCCCTCTCCCTCTCTCCCTTCTTTCTCTCTCGATCAATCGATCGAGGCATTCCTCCGCTCGCTCTCTGGCGCTCGCGCGCACTTTCAAAAGAAATACACCATACAATGCGATTGATCGATCGATCCAGCAAAGCGGCCGGGGATGATCCATCGTTCGTGCTCGTTTCCCCCGCATTAGGTTAATTTGGGGGGAAAAGAGTAGAGTATGGGGAGGCATTCGTGCTGCCAGAAGCAAAAGCTCAAGAAAGGGCTATGGTCGCCAGAGGAGGACGAGAAGCTGGTGCGCTACATCACCAAGTATGGCCACAGCTGCTGGAGCACGGTGCCGGAGCAAGCCGGTCAGTAGCAATCGATCGCTCGAATGTGAGCTGCAAGATCACTCATCCATGGCGCTCGAATTATTTGCAGGATTGCAGCGATGCGGCAAGAGCTGCCGGCTCCGGTGGATCAATTACCTCCGCCCGGACCTCAAGCGTGGGAATTTCACGTCGCACGAGGAGAAGCTCATCATCGATCTCCACGCGGCGCTTGGCAACCGGTAAAGAGAGATTCTCGTTTGGTTTCGTTGTGAGAATTCCTCTCATTTGATCGGGGATTCTTCTTCCAGATGGTCGCAGATCGCGGCGAGGCTGCCCGGGCGCACGGACAACGAGATCAAGAATTTCTGGAATTCTTGCATCAAGAAGAAGCTCAAGCAAATGGGGATTGATCCCAACACCCACAAGCCTCTGCTCGTGGCCACCTCCGCCGCCGCCGCCGCCGCCGCCACTAGCCCCAGCGGCGCCGCCGCCGCCACCGCCACCACCACCCCGGACGCCAAATCACCCATCATCGAGCAGCAATTCCTGGACAAATCCAGCGCCAGCGCCGCCATGGTGATCACGCGACAACCCCCCAAACTGTTCGCCTGCCCCGAGGAGGACGACGATGGCGACGACAACGACGCCATGGGCGGAGAGGACGCCGCCATGAATTTCAAGAATGCCGGTCGATCCGACCAGCACGACCCCCGGAAGTTCTCGTTTCTCGCGAGAACCAAGCCACCCCAGTTCTTCAGCTGCGGCAGCGATCGCGACGAGGACAACAACGCCATGACACCGCTCACACCGCCATCGTCTTCTTCGAATTCTTCCAGCTATGGATCACAGCAGCTCTATCGTCCAGCATTTGGGTTCTTCCCCCAGCAGCAGCAGCAGCAGCAGCAGCAAGATCATCCTGGTTTCCTGCCACCAGGGATCAACAACTGGAACCAGCATTGGATCACGCAGCACGTCCCGCCCATGGCCGCGCCATTCTTCCACCCCGATCACGTCCACCATCCAATGCAGCAGCCAGCGCAAGCTTTTGGTGCCGGTACTAGTGCCTCCCTTTTCAATTCACCCAGCACGCTCAACAATGTGGCTCCAGTTCACGTTGGATCCTTGGTGTGGTATTTGCAGCAGCAGCAGCAACCGAGCATGATCGAGCAAAATCACCACCACCACCACCAGCGGAGTTCTTCTGGTAGCCAAGCGGAAGAGCCCAGCTTTGGACACCAGGAGATCAAAGGCGACGTAGACGACGACTTTAGCGCCAAGTACTGCGAGAATTTCCTCAAATTCGGTGACTTTGGCACTGGCGGGGATCCGGAGCGAGAATTCAGCAGCAGCCCCAGCGGCGGCGGCGACGATGGCGAGCAAGGATCGCCCGGCTGCTGCTCCAACGATCACGCCGCGTCGAGCTTTATGATCAAGCCACCGGTGGTGACGTCGAGGTGCTCCATCCCGGACGATGGTGGTGGCAAGGAATCGCCGTCCATGGACACCAGCTGTAGCAATGCAAGTGGCGGCGACGGGGGATTCCAGTTCTGGGACACTTGCACGACCACGAGTAACAGTAGCGGCGGCGACGGTGGCGGTGGTGGTGGTGGTGGTGGTGGCGACGCCAAATTCAGCCTCCCGTTCCTCCGCGCCGCCTCCTCCTCCGCCAATTCCTCCGACGACGCCGCCTCCGACAGCTTCTCCAACTCGTCCATCCGGTGGAGCGAGCTCCTCCCCAGCCCCGCCATCGCGCCGCCGGTCTGCCATGGTGGCGCCGCCATGGCAAAGCCGCGACAGCACAGCGATCAGTTTGGAGATTCATCGCCCTCCACGATTATGATCAAGTCGAGTGGTACGTCATGGTACGATCGTCGGGAGGAGGAGGAGGAGTTCTCGCCGGAGCTCCAGCGGATTGCGGCAGCATTGGACCAAATCATTTAAGATCTTTAATGGCTTTCTATACATTGCTACACTCGATCGACCGATGTTGGCGCGCATTATACGCTTACTATATAACCATTGATACGTTATACGTATTATATGGATCCATGCATTTGCTCGGATTTGGATCATATGAGATGTTCTTCGTTCCTTCGTTCTTTGTAACATTGATTTGATAGACGAATTGGTTGTTTAAAGAAGGCTTTTGTTGTATGCAACGAAGGTGTCTTTAGAAGGCTTTTCAGAGAGCTTGGTGAAAGTTGGCGATTGATTGATCAATCTTCCAATGTCGCCTGTTTGTTTGCTCGTTTTTGTTTGTTTCGTTTGGATGGTGGCGGTGATTGACATCGATTATAATTGAGTCCTTGGAACAACAGCAACACAACGCTCCAGAAGATCGTCCATGATTTCCACTTAGTTTTCTCAATCTTCTTGGAGAGATTTGACAAGACGAGGTGTTCTTTGTACTCTAGCCCTTTGAGAGATCGAGTGAATCGGAAAGGATTAAAATAATGCGCTTACTTTAGCGTTGATAAAGCCGTGCGCTAAACAATCACCGTCGCCCAGAGGGTACAGATCACTGTTTGCCTTTATTGACCTCGCTCGATCCTTACTTTCTTCTTTTCACTCTGTCTCCACATCCAGCCAACTTCATCGAGTGAAGAGACTCCAATCCTGTACATCATTCGCATCCAAGAATCGCTGATCTTCCCAAGAACCAATAGTCTAGACTTTGTTTGAATGTCGGTGGCGGTGCCACGAATTCGAGAGAATCAATCTAGAGAGAACAAAGCGAGCCCGCGATTCATTTCAATCTCCTCCTTTGACGCATACCACAAAGCAAGGAAGAAATCGCCCATGGACTTTGTCTTTGACGCAGCCTTTGTACAAAGAAACTATCTCCTTTTTTGCTCTCCTTTCTTCTACTTTCTCCCCTTTTCTTCCTCGACCCAGAAGCTTCTGAAAAAAGACCAATATCAAACCTTTTTCTTTCGAGTGAATGAATGAACGCTGCCGAGTGAGAACCCTAGAAAATGTTTGTCATAAATGCTCTGCCACCTTTTCGTTGTTTCGTTCTTTTCTTTGCATCAAATTGCTTTTCTTCTTTTGCTCTGCCATGCCCGCAACTACCATCTTATTCGCGGTACTTTGGATTGAATTCTCGTCCAGAGATCTTTAGGTGATCTTGGAGAACGCCATCGCTAGCCCTCTTCATGGGTGGGAAGCAATCCTCTTCTTCTACTTCCTGCTATAACGAGAAGAGGAAGCTCCGCAAAGGATTGTGGTCGCCCGAGGAAGACGAGAAGCTGGTGCAATGCATCACAAAGTTTGGGCATGGCTCATGGAGCAATGTTCCCAGACAAGCTGGTGATTCTCATTTCTACATCTTTCTTCTATCAATCCCTCCACGATTTCTTCTCTTCGTGCTCCAAGTTCATTGCTTCGTGTTGTGCGCATAAATTGTCGAATCTCTCTCTTATCGTTTCTTTCGCTTTTAATTTCCTTCATGAACTTGGTCGAGACAGGTTACATTTTCTTCTTTCTAATCTTTGATTGATCGATCGATCGGCACAGGATTGGATCGCTGCGGCAAGAGCTGCCGGCTTCGATGGATAAACTACCTTCGCCCTGACTTGAAACGAGGTGGTTTTGGCGAGCACGAAGAGCAACTCATCATCGATCTCCATGCCATCGTTGGTAACAGGTCGATTCAATCTCAAAATCAATGTCTTTCGACTTGACTTTCGCTTGAATTTGTTCTGGCAGATGGTCACACATTGCCCGGCAACTGCCCGGAAGAACAGACAACGAGATAAAAAACTTCTGGAACTCGGTGATCAAGAAGAAACTACGGAAGATGGGCATCGACCCAAAAACGCACGCGCAGATCACGTCACCCTCGACGACCTCGCCACAATTCAGCAGCAGTGAGCTCATTATCACCGATGATCATCAGCAGAGTTTCGACGACCCCTCGGGTGTCATAAGCAGCTTCATGAATCACGCTCCATTCTCATTCCAACAAGATCATCAAGATCCTTCCACTTGTGCCACCAGCAATCTTGTCGTGCTGCATGGCTCCTCGTCCGGATCCCGCGATCAAGAGCTTGCTGGAACCTCGAGCTCGGCTCTAGTCGATCATCGATTTTACGACCCAGCAGAAGCAATGGATTACAACTGCGCGGATTTCAACCAGGGTGGTGATGAACGCCATGTCAATCAAGATTCGTCTTTGCCCGCCATGTCATGCACTGTACAAAGTTTAGCATACACCGGAGATTTTCCAGGCGAGGCTTTGCTCTCACCGCCTCTCCTGGATTGCTTCCATCGCGAAGAGCAGCACGAAGACGAGCAACCATTTGTTCTTCCCGCAAATGCCATTAGCTACAACGCAGGGGAGTATTATCCCCTTGGCTTTCATCAGGCATTCATGTGATTACAAGTTGATACAAAATCTATAAACTCGGCTCAGATTTAAGCTTGTAAATTCACGAGAATACATAAAGAAAAACTAGTTTGTCACGCAGTATAAATCTCTATCACTCCAGTGCCTAGCCTTTTCCGTTTGCGTTGGACTGTTTTGTGTAGTGGCAAAGTACCCAAAACGTTCACAGCCAAGAACTTGTGATCGGCTTAGAGTCTAGAGCTCCAATAACTTCTATTACAGACAACATGGAGAAATAAAATTGTAGTCACATGGTTTTATTTGTCGAGCTCGATCGAGTGAATGAATGGGATGGTATACATGTATGTGTGCCTGTGTAAGTAAAATTTATATACATTTTCTTTTCATCACTCACATGTGTTGTAGCGCGGCCGCCAACGATGACTGCCAATCGGAAGCCGCCAGCTCGGACTTGATGCCGGAATCAAAACTTGGAATCTTTGACGCGGTGGTGGCGCCGCCACCTCCTCCGCCGAACGTAAAACCCATGGCACCGTCAAACTGCGTTGACCTGTTCTGACCGTCGCTCGTCAGCGCAAAGTCAACGGCCGCCAGATCGTAAGGCTGTTGCTGGTGCTGCTGATACTGCGGGTGATGGTGGTGGTGGTGATCAAAGGAAGCCACCGCTGGCGGCGATGCATCGCAGATTTGATACATGAAATTGGATCCGGTGTGAGTAGCGAAAGCGTTGTTGTAATTCAAATGCACGATGCCCGGAAGAACAGCGCCAGTGGTGCTCCCGGGGAATTGCTGCCTCATCTCATCCCCCTGGTGCTCCTCCCCTGCCGGATTCCCATCGAAAGTACTAGTACTTGAGCGATGATCAAAGTCTGGATTGTAGCTGCCGCGGCCTGATGGAGTACTAGTCCAGTGATTATCCGATCTCATGCTTTGCAGTGGGCTCGAGAAGATCGCTTCGCTAGCACTGTGACTGGCTGCTGGAACTAGAGGTGAGTGATCTTCCACGCCTGGCCTGGTGATCATCCACTCGTTGTAAATCCTGGAATCCCTCGATACGTTGCTCAAATCGGAGAAGTTCCTCAACAGAATTCTCGCAGTTCCTCCTCCTCCTTCTGAATTCACCACTCCAGGCGATGCAAGTGGATTGACGACGCTCCTGGAGTTGGAGCTCTCGTGGTGATTGATTTGCAGCTCGCTAACCAGTGCTGGATTGCGGAGGAGTTTGGTGTCGGAGAAGCTGCGGCCCAAGCGAGGATGGGCTTCGAGATTGATGTTGTAGGGGTAGAGCTTGGAGGATTTGAGGTCGCTGTGGTCGCCCGGTTGGGACTGCGAGGACTCGGACTCGGCGGAGCCGGATTTGAAGGAAGAGATGTCGTCACAGGGAGGGAACTGTGGCAAATTCTTGCCGATGCTCGAGCCCGCCGCGTCGTTCATTATGGGCTTGTGAGTCTTTGGGTCTATCCCCAGGCGCTTGAGTTTCTTCTTGATGCACGAGTTCCAAAAGTTTTTTATCTCATTGTCGGTGCGGCCGGGGAGCTGTGTAGCGATTTGCGACCACCTTGAAACAAGAAGGAAACTTTAGCAAGCTTTTCCAAAAGAAGTTGTTTTGAAACTTGGAAGAGTTTCATGGTGTCTTGGAATATTAACCTGTTGCCAACGATCGCATGGAGATCGATGATGAGTTTCTCCTCTTGAAGCGAGAAAGCACCGCGCTTGAGATCGGGGCGGAGGTAATTCTTCCATCTCAATCTGCAGCTTTTCCCGCATCTCTCCAGTCCTGTTGGATCGGAATTGGGCCAGGAAAACGCAAAGAAAATATCCATCTTGGCTTTAGAGAATGGAAGCTTTTCATTTCCTTACCAGCAAGCCGAGGTACATTGCTCCAGCAGCCATGGCCGTAAGTGGTGATGCACTTGACAAGCTTCTCGTCTTCCTCGGGCGACCACAAACCTTTGCGAAGCTTTTGTTTCTGGCAACACGAGTGTCGCCCCATGCGACGGGGGAAACTGGTTACGAGAAAATACAAAAAGTGAAGAAAAAGAAGAAAAAAAACAGATTTTTGCAGAAGAAGGAACAACTTCGCGAAGAGAAGAAATAAAGTATAAAAAAGGAAAGCTCGGTGCAAGCAAAGGACCAAAGGACTGAAGGACACAGACTATAAGTTTTACTTGCTTGCTTCACTCCTAAAGGCTGGAAGAGAATGAGAGAATGTGTGCATGCATCAACTGGAGACTGG